TAAACGCCTTTGACATACATCCTCAGTATGGATGTATGTTTATTACTCTTTTACGCAAAAACTATAATTGAATGAATTTTGATATAACTTTGTAGTCATATATATCTTATATATCAGAGTAACTCATAAGCTAAATTTATAAAGATATAGTAATACGGGCGGAGCCGCGCAATATGCGAGTATATTTTTTTTAAATGATTATGTGTGTATCTAGATTTCAAGCAGGAAGGGATGGACGTCATTTTTGCATAAAGTTATGAGCCAGAGAGTAAAGTATGGGACAGTAGATGAAATGTTTTCCGTAAGAAAGACTTACTTAGTCTATGCACCAGAGCAAAGCAAGGGCGGATGTCTAGGTTAAAAAGTTGTTTTCTTTACTCCAAGTACAAGAGTACTGTCATTTTTAACATAAAGATTAAAATTGAGAAAATGTCAATAAGTCCTCGACGTAGATATTTAAAAAGAATAGTTTATCTGATTTTTCAAGTATTTAGCTTCGGAAAATAATAGACTAAATAAATAATTATTACAATCCTATTTTAACGATAGCGATGAAATCGAGCGTGAAATGGTTACCACACAAGCGGTTGTCTCGTGAACAAACGAAATAGCAGATCGCTAGGCGGAGCGTGGCGTTTGGCGGAAAATTGGCTTGCAACCGAACACAGCTTGGGGTATAAGTTTGGCAAATTGCAATTCACCCGTCCGTTAGCTTAAACTCCATGACGAATTCATATTATTTTACTTCCCGCCTTTTGCTAATTTCCTTAAACGATAATGGATAAAAAAATTATATGCCTTCAGTAGGCACTGAACGTACAGTAAGGTAAGGGAAGTACAGTAGATACTAACCCCAACAGACATGTGTCTAGTGTGGTATATTAATATTATCAAGATACGCAAAATAGTGGCCTCCAAAATAGTATTAACCAGACAGACATATCGCGACTCTAAAAAGCTAATGTAAAAAAATACTTTACTTAAAATAATAATAAAACTGAATGCGTAAAAGTGAATTAAAAATATAGACACAAGATGAGGAACAATATAGTAATAATAATAATAATGTCCTCCGGCCCGATTCCGGCCACGGCGGCCAATCTCATTGAGACTAGCCAACTGCGCAGGAGATAACATAGTGCAGCGCGTGTGAGGGAGAGCGCAGACACAACGTGCACTCTCTGTTCCTGTCACTCTCATACTCCGGTGGGACGAGCACTCGACACGACCAGTGAGAGTGTCGGCGCAGGACCGACGACTTTACGTGCTCTCCGAGGCACGGGGGTGAAACACCGCCAACTTTCCAACTCCGGGCTGTTACTGAGGCTTACTATACAGAAAGACTCAATAACTAAACTTGGCCCGACCCGGGACTCGAACCATGTGCAGGTGTGCAGCCGTACATGCTAACCACTATACAACCGAGGCAGTACATAAGTAGTATCTATGGATAAAACCTATGACACAAAAAGTTCCGCCTGCCGATATGACTTATTCGAATAAACTTATTTATATTATGTAATTATTCATATTAGGACACTCGATGTTCTAATTTTCGTTTTAATGCAAGATTTTTATTTGTAGAGTTACCATGACATTCAAAGCGTGATGAATAATTCGTGTCTTTTTATCATTTCTTTATTAATCAATTCTCTAAGTTTATAGTATAGGTAGAGTAGGTACTCTACCTTTACTTGAATCTCACTTTCATGTGTAACAAAAATTACATAAACGCTTAAAATGCTAATGCTGTAACGATTACTTTCATTGTTTATTCAGTACTATAAAAAGATGCACCGACTACTACTTCTGATGGGTTCGGGTGGATTTTTTTACAATCATATAAAATCACTCCTGATGGAATTATAATGTCCACAAATAACAAAGATAGCACGCAATACTCACAAAATAAAACATATTTTTCGCGAATAGAGTATCTGCTTCTTTTCTGAAGTTGGTCAAAAGGATTTGTTGTACGTAACTCTGTGCGATTACGTACTCTACTTTCTGCAAAATCAAAAAGAGGTTTTAATATTAAATTGTACTAAAATCTTTCAGTCATCATAACTCTCAAGTGTATGTCAAATTAAATTATAATTGTTTTTTAAGCAAAATTACAAATAAACATTTGTAATTTTTGAAATATCATATTACTTATACAAAATAAAAAATGGAGAAAAATTATTTAGATGTTAATCAATATCTATGTTATGACGGAACCCAGCATAAAAATAATTTTAATAGTATTCTTCTTGCAATTGCTAAAGAAATCCAAAGGTACGTTCTTTAAATTTAAAAATGATGCTTTTAACAATAATCTGAATCTTGAATCATCTTACAAATGAGTTAGGTACTTAATTATACTTAATTTGCAAACACATGATAAAGTAAAATCTATACATATAATAAAATTCTAACTAAGCCGAATCTGTACATTAAATATTTTTTGGAAAATCTTATTGAAATAAACATTATTATCGATACATAGGCCAAATCTATAGTTTTTAAATTTTTTGTCTGTCTCTCTGTTACCGCATCACAGAAAAACAACTGGAGGGATTTTGATGAAATTTGTTATGGTGATAGCTGGTTATCTGGGTCAACATATAGGATACTTTTTACCGCGGGAAAATATCTCACTTCTGAGAAAAAATGCAAAAACTGCAATGTAAAAGTATACAAATCTGTAAAACCTAAGAATTTGGTTTTTTGCCATCTGAATGCGGGTGGAGTCGTTTTATTAAAACAGTTTCATATTATAAGTAAATAATGTAATTATAGGTAGGTATAGGACTCCCCTTAATAAAATATTTAGCGAAAAGCTCTCATTATAATAATAGTGAATATAATACAATTTTACGAATTTTAAATTGGTGTTAAAAGTCATACTAATCTTTACATTATGTATGTCTTAATAACTTAGTTGCAGTAATAACGAAAATATTAGTAGCAAACGAAATATACTTTTAAAAATAACGAAATACAAAGCGTCCATAAGAAATAAGAAATACAAAATAAAACACCTAAATCAAACGATTCGAATACTGCGTGGTAAGTATTATTTATTGTATTTCGATTTTACGAAGATGAAATACAAACATACACTTTGATAGATAGTTGCACCTGTTCTATTCTGATTAATTTATCCGGTATGATTTGTACGCCATCTACTATACATTCATAATAGAAAGATACTACGCTAGAAACATGTAAACGGTGAAAGTCTGGAGTCAATCCCATCTACCCTTTATATACGAGAACTAAGGCGAATCTGTATATTAAATATGTTTTGAAAATCTCATTGAAATACTCATTATTATCATTACAGAGGCAGAATCTATAGTTTTTTAAAATTTTGTCTGTCTGGGAAAGCATCACGAGAAAACCACTGGACAGATTTTGGTGAAATTTAGTACGATGATAGCTGGTTATCCGGATCAACATATAGGATATTTTAACTGCGAGAAAATATCTCACCTATGAGAAATCTAAACTGTTATAAGCAGTTGGTATAAAAGTGGAAAAAATACTGATAATTATTGATTAAGAACAAACAAATGTTCATATTTGTTAATATGAGATATTTATAATAACTTACAAGGTTATATCATAACTTAGCATAGTTTGATAACCATTGGACAGACATGATAGTAATTTCTTTTAATTTAAGGTATAGTCAAATTCATTCTTAACAGAAAAAATAGAGAAATTTTGCAAATAAAATCTGAACAACAATTAAGCAATACAAGATTTATTGAAAATTTTATTAATAGAGGCTATGAAACATTACTTAAAACATTAAAAGAACCGTTGCGTTCTGATATATCTATATTTCATAAAATAAAAAATATGTTTGCTTACACTCATCAATATTATAGTAATTCAGAAGATATACGAACAAAATGTTCATTTTTAGAACAAAGAAATCGATTTCTTCAAAATAAAATTAATATTTTAGAAACTTATTTAGACTCACTGATAAAAGAAAACAAAAAATTACATTATCAAATACTGCGATCTAAAAGAGAAAATAATTCTTTTCAACATAAAAATATGTTTAAAAATACGTCATATGGTAATGAACTTGACAAAACTAAAATTTTAAATTCATTTGAAACGATAAAATATCCTGTAATTCAAATGGCTAATAATTTACCTAAGTTTAGATCACATTTGTCTTTAATTAGTGTTTTACTGTCTCATCAAAAACAAATCTTACAAGACGCAGAAGAATTTTCTAAGAAGGTGAACATGTAACTTGTAAGTAAAACAAAACATAGATACTGAAATTTTTTCTATATCTACAAAAATTACACTCACATATTATTATCAATACAGAGGCCAAATCTATAGTTTTTATAATTTTTGTCTGTCTGTCTGTTACCATCACGGGAAAACCACTGGAGGGATTTTGATGAAATTTGGTATGATGATAGCTGGTTATCCGGGTCAATATATAGGAAAGGTAGGTACTTTTTACCGCGGGAAAATATCTCATTTCTGAGGAAAAATACAAAAACTGCAATTTAAGCGTATACTAATATGAAAACCTAAGGATTTGGTTTTTGGTGAACGCGAGCAGAGCCGCGGGCAATGCTAGTTTTAATATACAATATAAAAGTGATTTGATTTTAGATTTATATATTATTATTGATTTTAGATTTATATATTAGTATTTTGGTCTCTAAACGGAACGCGTCACTGATATTTTGTTATGACAGTGACAATTGACATTAAATGATTTGACATTTCACATTTGGGCATGTGTCATGTGAGATGCAGATACGGTAGTAACTAGTAACCAATAACTTTGTATCATATATAGAATATATAGAAGCATCGTAGCTTCATTTTATTTGGCACAATCTTAGTCCATTCCCATTCTAAAAATAATGTGTTAAATGTTGTTTACGAAGTCAGTTCTAAACCTGGTACCAAGAAAATATTTTGCTTTCATCAACCACTGCCGATTTCTCCATAATCAAATAAATATAATAAACATGTCTTTAGAACAATCTAAACAAGTGGCAGCATATCGAGCAGTTGATGAATTCGTACAAGATAACAGCATTATTGGTGTAGGAAGTGGATCTACAGTAGTATATGCAGTGCAACGCTTAGCAGAGCGAGTAGAAACTGAAAATCTTAAAGTGATTTGCATTCCAACATCATTTCAAGCTAAGCAACTCATTATAAAGCATAATCTTATACTTGGAGAACTTGAAACATACCCTGTTATAGATGTCACTATTGATGGTGCCGATGAAGTTGATTCAAACATGACTCTAATTAAAGGGGGTGGAGGTTGTTTACTACAAGAAAAAATTATTGCATCATTCTCTAAAAAACTAATTGTGATTGCTGATTATACAAAAGACTCAAAAAAATTAGGAGACAGATATAAAAAAGGAATACCGATTGAAGTGGTTCCTATTGCTTATGTACCTATTAAAAATAAAATAGTTAGCATGTTTGGGGGAGAAATTAAATTAAGGAATGCTATAGCTAAAGCTGGGCCAGTAGTGACTGATAATGGAAACTTTATTATTGACTGGATGTTTGTTAATCAAGATTTAGATTGGGAAATGGTTAATGCTACTATTAAAATGATTCCTGGAGTAGTCGAAATAGGATTATTTGTAAAAATGTGCACCAAAGCCTATTTTGGTCAACCCGAAGGCACAGTTATCGAGAGATCTGTTTGATACAAGTATTTCAACACAAAAATCTCTTTAGTTATATGTATTTAATTGAAAATGTACAAAATGTATCAACTCTTTGATACATAGCCTTAATAGTATCATAGCCAGCCATATCACGGCATAGAAGAATAATTTAAAAAAAAGCTGTCATTTAGGTATATTTTTTTATTAAGTATAACCTCCACTATTTTTTATTGGCATTGTTTTTTGTTGTTTACATGGTCCACAAATATTTAGAGGGAGGGACAAGTTGAAAAATTTATCACATTACTGGTGCTGTAAACAATTTATTTTTATTTTATATTTAATCGAGCATACAAGTAAACTTCCAGAAGAAATACAAAAATAGATTGTCATTTTTACAGGAACATTTTATTTTAATTACAATATTGAATGTAACATTTTCACAATATATTTAATGGTGTCATACAGAATTTGTTTTAAATATAATTGTTTTGTAAGAGAACTGTTAAATTAACTATACTTTAAAATTATATTTAACCATGACTAAACATTTTCTCTTAGAGATAGTATGGAAATTTAGTGAAACTAATTTTGATAAGTGGACTGTTCATGTAGTATCATAGTGTTTAGTTGTAAATCAACTGTAATAAACTCAAAAAATATATACTCTATACAATAAAAAATATACATGTTTTTTGAAGAACTTTACCAAAGATTTTTTTTTAATACCTTGTATTTTTATATAGGCCCGCCCATAGGTGTAGCTGCTTACTTTTAAAATACAACACCATTAAAAAAATACCCATAAATTGTTTTATTTCTTAGAAATTTATTTTCTAAAAGTTTTTCTTAAATTCATATTATTGTATATAAAAATATACATATTAATATGTAGTTAAATTTTATATATAGCTGTACTTACTTTATTCCTTGACTATGTAAAGATAGTGATAGATTTTCTTTGGATATGTGAGAATTTAATGGAATAAATAAAAAAATATTATCTGAGTGATTCCAACCAGTGTTCTAAATAGATTTAATAGTATTACCAGTGGCATATCTACCCTACTGCAGTATGGTCCATGGTTTGCAAGGGGTTGTGCAAGTTTCAATGTCTTAATTGCTGATTATGTTAATGAGGATTTCATAAACAGATTTATACAAATGTCTGAAAAACATGAATGATTAACATGACCTTCATTCTTGAGAATGGTCATTTTTAGTTTTGCCTTTTGTAGTATATAGGTACCTACTACAAAAGGAAAAATTAAAAAAGGTAGGTACTCTAGTATAATGTAAGGGTCAATCAATCTTTTAGACCCAGGATGCCTAATTTTTAAATACTCCACTGAGCATTACAAATTATAATCTATTTACCATTTATATAAAACATGAAAAATGGTGATGCTTTTAACTTTTTCCTTCCTTCCCTATTATTCTTTTTAGCACATATATATTACTTTGTGACTCTAAAAAGGTATGCCATAGCCTTACTTAATAATAAAAAATAACTTTTTTAATCATAAAATTAAAACTATATAGGACTTGTATAGAATATATGCGTTATTTTTAATTTCTTTGTGCAATAATTTATGTAATTTATTTTCCAATTAAATTAAGCCTTAATCCAAGTTCAGGATAGAATTCTATATTTTTGAGGAATGTTTAACATTTTATAATATTACATTATCCTATAAAATTTGATAATAATCAAACAAAATTCACTCTCAGCAATAATTTAAAATCCATGAACTACTCATATTTCAGAGTTTCATATGAAAGTTGAGCTAAATGTATTGAAACACCTGAATATTGAATAAGTTTTTCTAAATGCATGTATAACACCTAAATTCAAAGACTTAATAGAGGCTTGTTTTCTTCATAATACGTAAAAACTCTTCTTGATTTATCTCACCATCACCATCTCTATCAGCTTCATCAATCATCTCATGCAATTCTTCATCTGTCAAGTTCTCTCCCAATTCACGCGCTACTCTTTTTAGATTTTTAAATGAAATTTTTCCTGAAATATACGTGAAGAACAAATTTGAAAAGCAATTACAATAAACTTACTTATTTTGAAACTTCCAATTTAAATATTCGTAAAAATAAGTTTATCAGTTAACTGAAACTGATAACAAACACTTTATATTAATAAATTTCAGGATGTTATTTATATGCATGATATATACATAATAAATTTTATAAATATATTTTTTTAATTTTACTATCATACCTGTTTCATCATCATCGAACAATTTAAATGCCTTCATTATTTCTTCCTTTATGTCTTTTTCTGCCATTTTTACTGTCATTAATTCCAGAAAATCATCAAAGGACACTTTGCCATCACCCTTATCAATTTCTGCAATCATTTTTTTGATTTCTTCTTTTTTCGGTTCAAAACCAAGTGCACGGATAGCAACTTTAAGTTCTTTTGTGTCAATTTTACCCGTGTTTTCGGTATCGAACAAATCAAAAGCTTCTTTAATATCACGTCTTTGCTCATCAGAAAGTTCAAATTTCGGTCCAGATTTCTTCCGAACTCCGCCTGAAGGAGCATTATTAGTGTTCACATTCTTCTTTTGGGAATTATTTACAGCAGTAGTCTGAAAAATATGTAATGTAAAATAACCCAAATATATACACATACCTACCTATTTTATAATTTTTCAATTAATCGATATTTATAACAAATAACAAACCATTACTGTTGTTGAAATTAATTAAAGTTAATTTATTAAAGTTATTGTAGGAATATGACGAAAATATAAAATTACAAAATATTAATTATCATAAAAATAATAATGTTAGTTTAAAATCTCGCGCATGTGTCGAATTGATTTTTGTTGTCATGTCACTTGTCAATTGTCATCGACAACTGTCAAGTTGAGAAATCATTCTATCACAGTTCTACAGTCTACTATTAAACCTGTGCACACTGCAGTCTGCACACCACAGACGAGGACATAGAGTATATTGCTACATGACGAGGACGACGGTCGAGCTAATAATACTAAGGTGTATTAAATCTTTATTGGTCTTAATTATCTGTGATCAAGGCGCTTTATAACATGGATGACAAATAAACTTGTTGTTCCAGGTCTGTCACTGTGACTGCTTTAGCTTAGTCTGTGACACTGTACTCTGTGGTATCGAGGACGGCGGGAAAGTACTTACAAAAGGGTTACAATTTACATACTCTATGGTATTTATTAAAATTCTATATGGTATTTACTATAGATGGGCCAACTCGGGTTTTTGCTAACCCGAGTTAACACGAGTTAAAATCATGGTAACTCGAGTTCAACCCGAGTTAAGTAACTCGAGTTAGCATGATAAGTGTTATGAAATTAATACATTCTTTCATTCTATTTCGAGTTGAATACATCTACGAGTATTCTTTTCAAGTTTTTGACATGTTTTGACTATTGGTTACTAAAGTGAGTCTTTTTAAACCATAGTAAGTGAATAATTGAAATAAATTATATTATTATTATAATGTATTTTCTTTAATGTACAGTGTTTTACAGTTTATCGATAAAGAAGTAACTTCCGACAAGACAAGTGCGAGTCGGACTCGCCCACCGAGGGTTCCGTACAAATGTGTAGGAAATCTGTTTAACTTTAATTTGCAATTTACAACAAGTAAAGGGAAAATTTCAAAAAATAAAAAAGTTCAAAGTTAAGGTAAATTTTGGTTAATTACAAGTTTTTGTGAAAATCTAAATTTGCCCATATCTTTTTATCGTGTTGACACAGGACCTTGATTTTATACACCCAATAGCGAGAATAGACCTTAGTATCTGGTATACATTTTAACTTGCTAGGTCCACCCATTTCTTAGAAAATCGGCGGTAACACACGGACAGGCGGTTGTCCGTGAGTGATCTTATATGGAATCCTTTTTTATTTTTTGAGTTACGGAACCCTAGAAAACAATAAAAATAGCTTAGCTTTTTTGGCTTAGGCTAAAGAAACTAGAATAAAAACACCAGTTCTCAAATAATAATTTGATAAATTTAAAGTTTATACATGAAAAAATAACAACGACATTAATATTAAAATATAAATTAGTCTATAGTAATATTAAAATAAAATGTTGGTAGATAGAGATACTGCCAGACGGTGGTACCGTACCCGGTCTACATCCGGGTGTCTCCCTAGATACGTTTTAAATACATATGTAGTTAAAAATAGTTATTGCGAGTGTACCTTAGGAGATAGACATTTTTACTATTGGGACCTTTTTAAAGATCTACAATTTTCTATTACCTATCTTGTTTTTATGTTTAGTTAGTATTGCTTGTAAATTTCTGTGGATGACTCAGTAGAAACAGTTTTTGTGTTTTTCCGTGGGAAATAACAGGTTTTCTGTAGTAAAATTTATTTACAATCGGTTAAGTACTTTTGGCGTGAAATGCATATAGATATACAAACAAACAGACGTGCAGACAATCAGACAAACTTTCAATATAAATTTATTATATGGTACTATTAAGGAAAAGTATTTGGTTTAATTTTTTGGGTACTAATCTATTTCGGCGAGGCGGTATATTTAACAGTCATGACAAAGGTTTGTTAAAGAGTTTCCTACAATGTTTTGTGTTGATCAAGTTGTTTTTTTAAATATGATTCTTCAATGTAGTTGTATTACCGGAATATTTATATGATTCAGAACACCATTTAAATTTACACTCGTTACATTGAACTGGTGCTTCAAAAATTACCCAAAAAAGGGATGTTTTTTTTGGCCCCGGTATTATCGAAATAATCACAATTAAACTTTTTATAAAGAATTCAAACAAGAATTAATAAATTATTAAATTTAAGAACTCGTTATTTAATAAAAATGCAACTTTTTTGGAGACTTGCAACCTACTGTTTCTAATGTCACTTCGTTCGCTCGCAAATATTCGTAAGCATACGGGTAAAGTCGGCTTCTCTCGAAAAGCAAACTTCGTTTCGTGTATGAAATGTAAAACGAAGTTCCTTAAAAAACCAGGTTCGTGTGTCGGTATCTAAACCGAGTTACGATCGGTCGAACTCGGGCTAACTCGACATGACGCTAACTCGGGTTAACCCGAGTTGGCAAACCGAGTTGACACTAGTGGTGGTTCATACTAGGAAAAATTGGAAACCTGTTACACCTGTTCCTGTTCCAATGAAATAACAGTTCCAATAACCTGTTCCAAAATAACAGCCTGTTCCATCAATACTAACAATACCTTAGAAACTATAGATGGGCCAACTCGGGTTTCCGCTAACCCGAGTTAATTCGAAGTAAAATCATGGTAACTCGAGTTCAACCCGAGTTAAGTAGATTGAGTTAGCATGATATGTGCTATGAAATTTAAACATTCTTTCATTCTATTTCGAGTTGAATACATCTATTCTTTTTCAAGTTTTTGACGTGTTTTGACTATTGATTACTTAAGTGCGTCTTTTTAAATATAGTAAGTAAACAAATGAAAGAAATTATATTGTATTTTTTAATGTACATTGTATTAGTTATAGTTATAGAACTGAATTCCAGGCAAGTGCGAGTCGGACTCGCCCACCGAGGGTTCCGTACAAATTTGTAGGAAATCTGTTTAACTTTAATTTTCAACTTTTTTGTTTTTGGGATTTTTCCTTTATTCGTCTATCTCGGCGAGGCGGTATATTTAACAGGTCATGACAAAGGTTTGTTGACGAGTTCCTATAATGTTATTTTATCGATCAAGTTTTTTTTTTAATATGATTCTTCAATGTAGTTGTATTACCGGAAAATTTATATGATTCAGAATACTCTTTACATTTAACTTTACACTCTTTACATTGAACTGGCGTTTCAAAAATTTCGTAAAAAAAGGGATTTTTTTATTGGCCCCGGCATTGTCGAAAAAATCACAATTAAACTTTTTACAAAGAATTAAAATAAGAAATAATGAAATATTATATTTAAAAACTCTTAACTTAAAAAAAATGCAACTTTTTGGAGACTCGCTACCTACTTAAATTTCTAATGTCACTTCGTTCGCGCGCAAAGATTCGTAAGCATATGGGTAAAGTCAGCTTCTCTCGGAAAGCTAACTTCGTTTCGTGTATGAATTAGTAATGTGAAACGAAGTTCCTTGTTATAAGAAACGAGGTTCATGTGTCGTTCGGGTGTCGGTGTCTAACCCGAGTTATAATCCGTTGAACTCGGGCTAACTCGACGTGAGGCTAACTCGGGTTAACCCGAGTTGGCAAACCGAGTTGACACATCGCTATAATAGAAACAATGCTATGGAATTATTTCACAAGTTAACGAAAGAAAAACCATCCTTCATGCTTTTACAGGCTTAGGACTGACAGCTTGATTTTAAATAAATAATTATAAGAAAAATAAATTTATAATAATATATAGTTGAGCCAAAAGAAATACTTATGAGAAACAAGCTGGCGCATTTAACAGTTTTCATTTCATTCTATGTACATTAATCAATAATTTTATGTACACTAATCATCTCATTATATACATCATTAATCAGTAATATTTACAGCATGCAACGAGAAAAAAATATATTTACTGTATATACAATATTTAAATATTTTGGTTTAAAAATACCAGCTGTTGTAATTTTCTTATGCCTAGCCTTGTCCGCCTTTCATTTAGCATATTCCCTGCCGCTGAAAACACTCTCTCACAGGGAACAGAAGATGCCATGGCATTTAATTTTTGTACAGCAACTTTATACAGATTTGGGTACGATTCCCTATGTATCTTCCACCATTTTAGAGGACATTCTGACCTATCTATTATTGGAGCATCCAAATATCGCTGAATCTCCACGATAGCCCGAGAGTGTGCTGTACCTTCAGGCTGGATATTGCGCATTTTCTCCCGGTAATCCTGCCTTATAAGTTTGGTGCTGGTGCTTGTACTTGCCTGAGGGTTGCTCATTTCTATTGTGGCATTATTTTGTCTACTCTGCTCTTGTATTACAAAAGCAGTAATACGCCGTTTAGTTTCCAATGCTGTTGCCTGGTCGTTAAAATAAAATTTAAACCTAGGATCTAGGAACATGCAGTTGGTAAATGTTCGGCTTTGAGTTAAGTTATTGAACCTGTTCCCTATTCCTCCTAATAAATCTTGCCTCACTCTGTCAACTATTGGCATTAAGTTTTCATTTTCGTAGTTTTGAAGAACTTTTGTGAGACCAGTTGTTATGGGGATTACTAGACTCCCGGTTAAATATTTTTCTCCGCTCAATTCTTTTGTGACTTCCTCACATGGCTGCAGAATTTTGCAGAGCTCCGTGCAGACTTGCCACTCATATGACGTTAATATGTCCATGCTTAAGTTTATCATAGCACTATTGAGTGGCTCTCGTAGCTCTACACAGCGTTGAAGCATATAGTATTTGGAATTCCAACGTGTTGCCACCTCTTGAATTAGACGCTTTGGTGTGTTTCCTGCCTGCTCCTGATATTTTTTTAATTTCTGCCATGCTAAATTACTTTGTTTAAATTGTTTAACTATGATTTTAACTTTATTTATTATTAACGTTATGTCTTCTGATTTTAGAGCATCATTGACTATGAGATTCAAAGTATGGCTGTAACAAGGGAAATGCTTCCATGCAAGTTCTTTCTCAATGGCATTTTTGATATTACTGCCATTATCTGTCACTGCTAATAAAACTTTATTAGATAAATTCCACTCGTCACATATTTCCTTAATAAGTCTAGCCAAATTTTTAGCTGAGTGACTTTCTTCCAGAGGAATGCAATCAAGTAAACAGTACTTCAACTCACTTGTTGTTTCACTAATATAGTGGCCTGTGATGGCCATCATTGAGTCATTTGTCATTGTTGACCAAATATCGACGGTTATGCAAATAGATTTAACATCATTCTCTAAGCTAATTCTCAGCTCACTCTTTTTCTTTTCATAGAGTGATGGTAATAAGTTATTAGCAAAGTATTTGCGAGTGGGTATAATATAATTGGGAAAAGCCAATTGCATGAGTTCACGAAAGCCGCGGTCTTCTACGATTCGAAATGGTTGAAAGTCCAAGGTGAAAAGTTGCATTACTTTATCATCTATAAATTTTTTTTTCTAAATTGCCACGGCGTTTAGGTAAAAAGTCCGTAATAGGTTGAAGTCCATATGTCCTTCGCATAGGTGCCTGCCCACTACCAGATGTACTTGCAACAGGATTAGGAATTGTGTTAGTGCCCGCATTAATAGCTTCTGCAACATTAGTATTACCACCACCAGAAGCGACAGAAGCTATACACACATCATTTACCGCACTAGAATCGCCTGCCACAGCATCGGTACGGCTCACGACACATATCGTGGGATGTTTCCGTTGTAAATGTTTTTTTAAATTTGAAACGGATGATTTATACGACATTTGCACTTTACATATGTTGCAAACTCCTCGGGAACCACCTATGTCCGTAAAATGGTCCCACACGACACTAGTTTTTTTATTCGAAGACATATTTACACACTTCACAATTTACATTAATATACAATACTAAAATCTAAAGATGTACAAAACTAAACCTATATATATATATTCGTAATATAAAAGTCAAAAGTAGAAAAGTTCACTGAAAAATTAGTTTTCTTTCATTTAACTCAACAGCAAAGCAAAATATTCAAATTCGCCGCAAAATATTCAAATTCACCGCAAAATTTTAAGCAAAACTTTTACAAACGTCAAACTTCGAAAACTTAATTTCTAACCATGGATGACAAATAAAATAGATGAATTAGTTCCATACGAGCTCTTGGTGGATCTATCTATCCCTTTCATTTGCTTGGTAACTAGCATGCTATCTCTACATTTGGCGACAACGAGTGGGACAACAACTTATTTCTGTCGCAGTTAAATACGTCACTACTGTGACGTCACTGCAATATTTTGTCATTTTTGAAACTTTCAAATTTTAACCGTTGTTATTACTCGCCCCTGGGGACTAGGGTGTGAGGGCTTGCCGTTTTTTATATTATTTTACACTTTAAATTTACATTTTATCAATTTGTAGATTAGTATTGATTAATGTGGATAAGTGCTGATTAATGTAGATCAGTGATATAGTTAAGATTTGTGCTTGGATACAAAATTTGTGATTTCTTTATTAGTGTTTCTCTTCCTTTTTTTGGTTTTTTATTAATGTTGTGTAATCATGGAAAAGCTTTGTAATTCCGAATTGTCAGGAAGGAACAGAAGGTTTTTCATGCCATAGAATGCCTTATAAAGATGCACTTCAATTTTATAACGTATACTTATAGAAATTCTTATAAACGGTTTATTTCTAGAGTAACTCTATCTGACCAGGTTTCTGCCAATGTAGCTGCAATAAATTCATTAATTTCTGATACTAAGGTAAATATACTTTGTAGTGCCAATGATGCATCAAGTGCTATCCATTATGAAGTTAATGGGAACAAAACCTATCATAAGTATGATGTACCTCATTTACTGAAATGTTTCAGTAATAATTTTCAGAAAAAGAATTTGCTCCTTGGCAGTCAGCGTGCTCAATGGGATTATGTTCATATGTTGTATAAAGTAGATGACCATAAAGGTGCTGCAAGGCTAACAAACTTACTGACAGGCATATTTATCCAAACTCTTTTGTTAAGATGAAGGTAACTATATTGTTAAGTTTAGTAAATTAAGATATTATTATATTACTTTAGATCTTGGATATTATCTTATCTTTAATATGAAATTGTTTTTAAGAAGGAAACTTCTTGAAGCTATTGATATTATTATACTATTTATTATTATACTATTCTATTCTAATATGTAAAATTGAAGAGTTTGTTTATTGTTTGAATGCACTTATCCATGTAATGTTCAGTCCATTAAAAACAATGTATCAACTCTATAGCCTATCTATTGTATAATGTTAAAAGCTATTTAAGGGCCTAATTGGCTTATCTACCTAGACCCTAATAATAATGAACTATTACTATATTTAAATAAGCTACTATTCATCTATAGTAGTTACTAGTACATATACTATAGTTATGGTGACTATTTGTTGTATTACATTAATTTATTATAATAATATATTTACAGGTGAAGTATATGCTGCGCAGGTGTTTCAGCAGTTGAAGTGTTTCAACATCTATAAGTCTCCAGATAAAGGCTTTTAGTTTCCAGGAAGAACACAATTATTGTAATACATTAAATGTAAATATTGAGAATGGCTTATTCACAGCTGAGATTATTTTATTCATTAATAATAAAATACATGATCCTTCTAAGAATCTGTCATCTCTAGTATGGTATGCAATTTACATAATTGAAAGACAATTACCAAAGATTGGTAAAGTTTACACATTTTCCGATTTAATAAAAGCATTTGAAAATCTTGATACCTCTTGGTACACTTGTGTAGATCTTAGAGAAATATTTTTAAGAGCATTCTCATTATTTATGATATGTATAAAATTTAAACAAAGGTGTATAAATTTTAAATGAAGAATGCATAAAGTGGATTCGAGAAAAAAGGGTCTGGAAATAGAAAATTTGCTTAATATGAAAGTTTCAGAAGGGCCTAGCTATGGTTGAACTCATCTAGTCTTCAGAGTAGTGAATGATTTTCCAATATTTTTTCATTAATTAACTTTTAATATTTATTACTCTTGTTTGTTTCATTTCTTGGTTATTTAAAAGATAATCACTTAAAATTTTCCATTTTCATTATGTTTCTATTAAGTATAAAAATAATGTATGAATATTTCATTTGATTTCTGTGAAATAATATTATAATTTCTTAAAATATACTACTATAGCAGTATATAATTTTAATATATTAATTATAATTGTTACATTTGATAGAACTATGTATTTAGAAATTTTATTTTAGAACATGTTTAGCTGTTATTTCTTTTTACACCAAATTTTTACTATTACTATGTACATTTAGATTTTAAATTTCTTAAGCTTTTAAGAAAATTAATTTTATTATTAATTTTTTTCTGAAATTTGCATTTTTTATAAATTTATATAAGATTAAAATGTTTGTTTTTTCAAATGCGCTAATCTCGAATCTTTGCATTTTATAAACTGAAGATGAAGGTGGTTCTAGAGCTAAAACTTCAAACAAAAGCTAGATTTTAATTTATACCTACAATTAAACCTACTACTCGCTTAATATGATATTGTTATTAACAAAAACTATTGTTCTATGTTACTTCTAATTTTATTGCATTGTAATATTTTATACCAAATCGTTGTACTAATTTATATCTTTTGTATTTTGTATTCAATTGATAAAATTCTTTAAAAATGTCCTTTTATTGTAATAATGTTAAGAAAAAAAAGGTTATCCCGTCAAGGACCTCAGTCCTTGCTAATTCTTCTCAGGTCTGAGGCATTTTTCCGAACTAGTGGTAGCATTAAAATAGTAAAATAAAAAACTAGAAACCTATCTTTGTATTTTATTTCTAATTATAATTAATATCATAAAAATGAAAACCTTACTATAAAACCGATAACAGTTGTTGAATACCGATAACATTACGATAAAATACATCCCTACTTAATCGTAATCGTAATGAATACCGATTTTTACATCACTACGAACTAAATTCTCCCAGATTCGCATATGACGTCATACCCTTAGAAAGAGATGCGTGGCGACTCAAAAGAAATATAATAGCCGTGAAAGTGACGGCATATTTTGACTTGCCATTTATGCTATAACTGTCCCCATATTAAGGCAAATATCATGACACAGCTCTAAAATATAAATCAATTTTTATAACATAAAAACCTATGTTAATAGATATTTTATGTTTGATATGAAATATAATTAAAATATAAGATATTGGATAAAAGTTAAAATCATTTAGAATATAATTATATAAATCAATGTATAGCACATTATTATGATTTATAAAAAAAAAACATTTTAAGCATATTTAACTTAAGTATATTTTATAATATAATAAGATATTAATTAACATATCCCATGTAGCTATTTTTAATTTATAATGGTTAAATCGGGAAAAATCTTTCTTTGACTATCTTGACCCCCCCGGCCCCCGCTTCGTCTTATTCGCCTTCGGTTTTATGAATATGCGCTTGTATGGAGCTCGGCCGGGGCTGGTTGTTACTTTTAAAAACCTGTTTTTTTAACCTGTTCCGATATAATATACGCCTCACTCTTAGTTGACACATCGCTAGTATTGACTAAAGTCCTAGTAATTAGTATCAGCCCCGGCCGAGCTCCATACAAGCGCATATTCATAAAACCGAAGGCGAATAAGACGAAGCGGGGGCCGGGGGGGTCAAGATAGTCAAAGAAAGATTTTTCCCGATTTAACCATTATAAATTAAAAATAGCTACATGGGATATGTTAATGAAAATCTTATTATATTATAAAATATACTTAAGTTAAATATGCTTAAAATGTTTTTTTTTTTATAAATCATAATAATGTGCTATACATTGATTTATATAATTATATTCTAAATGATTTTAACTTTTATCCAATATCTTATATTTTAATTATATTTCATATCAAACATAAAATATCTATTAACATAGGTTTTTATGTTATAAAAATTGATTTATATTTTAGAGCTGTGTCATGATATTTGCCTTAATATGGGGACAGTTATAGCATAAATGGCAAGTCAAAATATGCCGTCACTTTCACGGCTATTATATTTCTTTTGAGTCGCCACGCATCTCTTTCTAAGGGTATGACGTCATATGCGAATCTGGGAGAATTTAGTTCGTAGTGATGTAAAAATCGGTATTCATTACGATTACGATTAAGTAGGGATGTATTTTATCGTAATGTTATCGGTATTCAACAACTGTTATCGGTTTTATAGTAAGGTTTTCATTTTTATGATATTAATTATAATTAGAAATAAAATACAAAGATAGGTTTCTAGTTTTTTTATTTTACTATTTTAATGCTACCACTAGTTCGGAAAAATGCCTCAGACCTGAGAAGAATTAGCAAGGACTGAGGTCCTTGACGGGATAACCTTTTTTTTCTTAACATTATTACAATAAAAGGACATTTTTAAAGAATTTTATCAATTGAATACAAAATACAAAAGATATAAATTAGTACAACGATTTGGTATAAAATATTACAATGCAATAAAATTAGAAGTAACATAGAACAATAGTTTTTGTTAATAACAATATCATATTAAGCGAGTAGTAGGTTTAATTGTAGGTATAAATTAAAATCTAGCTTTTGTTTGAAGTTTTAGCTCTAGAACCACCTTCATCTTCAGTTTATAAAATGCAAAGATTCGAGATTAGCGCATTTGAAAAAACAAACATTTTAATCTTATATAAATTTATAAAAAATGCAAATTTCAGTAAAAAATTAATAATAAATTTAATTTTCTTAAAAGCTTAAGAAATTTAAAATCAATATGTACATAGTAATAATTTGGTGTAAAAAGAAATAACAGCTAAACATACTCTAAAATAAAATTTCTAAATGCATAGTTCTATCAAATGTAACAATTATAATTAATATATTAAAATTATATACTGCTATAGTAGTATATTTTAAGAAATTATAATATTATTTCACAGAAATCAAATGAAATATTCATACATTATTTTTATACTTAATAGAAACATAATGAAAATGGAAAATTCCAAGTGATTATCTTTTAAATAACCAAGAAATGAAACAAACAAGAGTAATAAATATTAAAAGTTAATTAATGAAAAAATATTGGAAAATCATTCACTACTCTGAAGACTAGATGAGTTCAACCATAGCTAGGCCCTTCTGAAACTTTCATATTAAGCAAATTTTCTATTTCCAGACCCTTTTTTCTCGAATCCATGCATAAGCATTCTTCAATTAAAATTTATACACCTGTGTCTAACTTTTATACATATCATAAATAATGAGAATGCTCTTAAAAATATTTCTCTATGATCTACACAAGTGTACCAAGAGGTATCAAGATTTTCAAATGCTTTTATTAAATCGGGAAATATGTAAACTTTACAAATCTTTGGTAATTGTCTTTCAATTATGTAAATTGCATACCATACTAGAGATGACAGATTCTTAGAAGGATCATGTATTTTATTATTAATGAATAAAATAATCTCAGCTGTGAATAAGCCATTCTCAATATTTACATTTAATGTATTACAATAATTGTGTTCTTCCTGGAAACTAAAAGCCTTTATCTGGAGACTTATAGATGTTGAAACACTTCAACTGCTGAAACACCTGCGCAGCATATACTTCACCTGTAAATATAATATTATAATAAATTAATGTAATACAACAAATAGTCACCATAACTTTAAAGTATATGAACTAGTAACTACTGTAGATGAATAGTAGCTTATTTAAATATAGTAATAGTTTAGTATTATTAGGGTCTAGGTAGATAAGCCAATTAGGCCCTTAAATAGCTGTTAACATTATACAATAGATAGGCTATAGAGTTGATAAATTGTTTTTAATGGACTGAGCATTACATGGATAAGTGCATTCAAACAATAAACAAACTATTCAATTTTACATATTAGAATAGAATAGTATAATAATAAATAGTATAATAATATCAATAGCTTCTAGAAGTTTCTTTCTTAAAAACAATTTTATATTAAAGATAATATCCAAGATCTAAAGTAATATAATAATATCTTAATTTACTAAACTTAACAATATAGTTACCTTCATCTTAACAAAAGAGTTTGGATAAATATGCCTGTCAGTAAGTTTGTTAGCCTTGCAGCACCTTTATGGTCATCTACTTTATACAACATATAAACATAATCCCATTGAGCATGCTGACTGCCAAGGAGCAAATTCTTTTTCTGAAAATTATTACTGAAACATTTCAGTAAATGAGGTACATCATACTTATGATAGGTTTTGTTCCCACTTCCCATTAACTTCATAATGGATAGCACTTGATGCATCATTGGCACTACAAAGTATATTTACCTTAGTATCAGAAATTAATGAATTTATTGCAGCTACATTGGCAGAAACCTGGTCAGATAGAGTTACTCTAGAAATAAACCGTTTATAAGAATTTCTATAAGTATACGTTATAAAATTGAAGTGCATCTTTATAAGGCATTCTATGGCATGAAAAACCTTCTGTTCCTTCCTGACAATTCGGAATTACAATGCTTTCCCATGATTACACAACATTAATAAAAAACCAAAAAAAGGAAGAGAAACACTAATGAAGAAATAACAAATTTTGTATCCAAGCACAAATCTTGACTATATCACTGATCTACATTAATCAGCACTTATCCACATTAATTAATACTAATCTACAAATTGATAAAATGTAAATTTTAAGTGTAAAATAATATAAAAAACGGTAAGCCCTCACACCCTAGTCCCCAGGGGCGAGTAATAACGACGGTTAAAACTTGAATATTTTAAAAATGACAAAATATAAAAATATAAATTGTATATTAAATATTTACACTAACTATTACAATGTATGTAGTATCGCAATCCCCCAAGCCACCAAGCTGTGATTTGTAGCAGTCACTGTGAATTTAAGTAGCAGGTGTGACGTATGATAACGCATTTCACGTGATTTTTCACTTGCTACTCGTGAAATGTTCCATGCCTAGTACGGTGTCAGTCATGGTTCATTTCCCTTTCGAAAATGTACAGTAATATTCCCGAGTACTTTTGCTAAAAGGCAATGCAAGATAATAGCTAGCTTATTTTATAATGAACGTAAGTATCTTTAGATTACAAAGATATTTTGAATAGTCAATACACACAACCACTCCATACTGGGATTGGGCTTGACATTCAAAGATCAAATATGCCACAAATACTCAATAACAATTGAACAATTTTTGAATTATATTAGAATTAATTACTATTGCTTTAAAAGCAAGTCATACTATGTATTATTTGTCATATTGTTATAGTTTAATATACAAGGCATATTTATAAAATAAATTGAATTCCTTTTATTAACACGTTCAATGCCACTACGATTTTCATGATGTCTTCGCGGATGCCGCATACATTTCACGTTGGACTCGCCAAGCGAGTCGCTGGCACTACAATATAATTTGAATGGACTCGCGACGCGAGTTCACTGGCATTATGTAAGGGTAAAATTTATCTTTTGTTATTATTGTGGCTGTCTTAGTCTCCGTAACGTTTGTATCGGAAGTATAAAGTGTTTGACGACTATTCAGTGTGTTTTAACTTAAAAACATGGCAAAAAACTCAAAGGATAAAATAAAAGGTAAGTTTGTTTCGTCATTTAGGCAGTGGTTGTCAACTTTTTATACAGTGGTTATTTTTAATGTTATATTTTGTACTAATAATATTTTTGAACAGCAATTTCGCTCTGAATATTTAACGCTGTCTCCTAGTTCTACGAATATGTTATCAACTTCTATAAATATATACCATTCGTTTTTAATGCAACGCTAATAATTAAAAGAAAAAAATTCAATTATTTTTGTATTTAAAATAATTTAAACTGAAATTAATCAACATTGTACCTATTTATTATTATGTAATTTTATTTACAATAATAGATAATATTTTTAAATAATATAATTGAAATTTGACAATAAGTAACGACCTGTTTTTTTTAGTGCTATTAGTCCCAGAAACGGAGCCTTATGACGAAGATTCAAAATGGAGCAGGTGAACGCATGTGATGACGAAAGGGTCGTACAAATCACTGATATGACATTAGAAAAAAGTTTACCGTGGTTTACAAGAGTAGTCAATGACGTCACGAATAAGGGTCCAATAGAATCGGCGAAATGTTTTGCGTCCTTGGAGTGGGACTTAGGATTACCCAATGAGAGCTTCGTGAAAAACAATGTTATCAGTGCTTTTGTTTAGAAGGAGCGCGCGCCGGCGCAATGTTATTTGTCTTAAAATTGTAAATGCAATATAAATATGACAATAATAAAGTCTACTTTTCTGAGAACGGGCCACCCTATAATGTGTTGTAAATTTGTGATGTCTGCGATCATTTATATAAAAGATTCCGAAAAGGGTAAATGAGACACTGTAACTATATATTTATAGTTAACTCTAGTACCTGTTTTGTTTCCTTATTTATCATCTAAAGTATGAACCTAACAAAATTTGCGAAAGGTTGGGACTGCGAGTGTTTCTGAATAAAAACAATACCTCTTTATTAGGTATACTTTTTGTTTATTGTTAGTATCTTACCCATTGGAATCTCAACTAATATTATAAAGAGAAAAAAATTATTTTTATTCATAACTAGCGACTTACCCTAGCTTCGCTCGGGTGTCGCGCCTAGCTTGCTTCCCCATACAAACTTTCATCCCCATTGTCACCCCCTTCAGGGATGATTTCCGGGATAAAAACTTTTTATTTCACTCACTCACTTTCATATCACGACATGAAAAAAATTTTTTTTGTAAAAAATCTTTTAATTTTCTTCTATACGAAACTTGTCCTAACAATAAAAAATACAAAAAAAAGAAATATCCAATTTGGTGCAGTTGATTGGAAGTTATGCGTGTAAATATATTTCGATGATTCATTTTTATTTATATAGATTTACACTTTACAGTGAACGCCACATCAACCTACTAAAAATCGAAGTTATTGTGTTGACGACGTTAAAATTTGAGAATCTGCGGCATTGGACTCACCTAGCGAGTTCACGGCATTGCAGAATAATTTTTTTCTTTTAAATGTAAAAAAATTCTTTACATCCAGGCCACCATGTAAACGTGAACATGACATCATATTAAGTCTACACCGTAATTTTGAACAGAATATACAGAAGCGTTTTGAAAATATTACCGAAAAACACTGAACTCGCCGCGCGAGTCCCCGGCACTGGAATAAAATTAACGTAAACTCGCAGGGCGAGTCGGTGGCACTGAACGTGTTAATTGGAATGTTTTCTCATTACAGATGTGATCGTACAGGAGAAAGATGTTTGGCAATAACTTTTGTTCACGTAGTAAAAAAAAATCATGCAAGGTATTTATTTTCTGCTAATTACTATATTCATACTAAGAACAGTTTTATTTTCAATAAAATCATTTTTATATTACTACTAGCATTGCCCGCGGCTTCGGCTGCGTTCAGATGACCAAAAACCAAATTCTTAGGTTTTACATATTAGTATACTCTTACAATTCAGTTTTTGTATTTTTTCCTAGAAATGAGATGTTTTTCCGCGGTAAAAATCCTATATGTTGACCTGGTTAGCCAGCTATCATCATACCAAATTTCATCAAAATCTGTCCAGTGGTTTTCTCGTGATGCGGTAACAGACAGACAAAAATTCTAAAAACTATAGATTCGGACTCTGTATCGATATTGTCTATTTCAATAAGATTTTCCAAAAAATATTTAATGTACAGATTTGGCTAAATTACAATTTTATTATATGTATAGATTAATTATACTTAAAGCTTTACATTAATGCACAGCAAAGAAAGTTGAATGTGAAATATAAACATAAATATGTATAATCACAAGAAAATAAATTGAAAATATATTGTGTAATTTTTATTTGTTACAGTGCAATTTGATTATGTACAAGAGCTTTTTCTTTATGTCAGAAAGAAAAGGCAGTGACTATTAGAGATGATAAAAAGAAAATTTCATCCTCTACAGGTAAATGACTGCATTTTTATTTTTAATAAATATGCTAAGGCAAGGAAAATGGTTCTCAATAAACAGAAAGAACACTTTGTAACAAAAAGATAATAGTCTTTAATAGTTAGTAAAGGCTAAGGAAATGAAATGAAAGTAGCAAGTTATAATATTTTATATTGGAAAGATTGGACTAGTATTGATATATTTAAAAAATATTTACTGTAATTAAGGAGATATTTGATTTAGAAAAAGCTATTTTAGTGTCATACAGAATTCCTCAAGTCACAAACTAATTTTGACTCATATAAAATTACTATTTATTTAATCTGTGGATAATTTTTACAAAAGTATAATATACTTATACTTCGTTGTTACTGTTATTGGAATGGAGCTATAATTTGAAGCAAATTCTTTGAGCTATTTTTGTTTTCATTAGTAGCTGGTCGTTGATAGGTGGTGCTGATCTGAAAACTATCTGTTTTTTTATATACTAAAATATAAAATAAATTTCAATTCCTTCATTTGTAGTAATATAACCTTATATAACTCGAAATATTAAAAACGACATCTATGAATACACAGTCGAACACTTACTATCTAATATCTGATTTTCTATTAATCAGTAAAATTATGAAATATGAAAACTAGAATATACCCTGTTTAAGAACTATTTTTTATATTATATAATATTAATAATTTTACACATCATTTAGATAACGCCGTCTATTAACATACAACTGAATTTATAATTTTTTCTTTATATCTGCTGTCTTAATTTTATTAGACATAATATTAATTCATTTAAAATGGTTAATTTTCAGGACCATCATGTTCAGCCAACGTGTGTCCGACAGAACGTCGTGCAGCAGAAGTCTCTTGAATACAGGATACTTGCCTCAGTTTCTTTTTTAATTGTTTAATGTACAACATTAATTATGTTAAGTAGCATTCATTGTTAATAGGAATAGTACAGTTTTATAAGAAATCTTCACAATGTTGAGTTAGTGTGCCCTCTAGCGGGGAGTAGCGGAAGACAATTATACTAGATGGCACAAATCAATAGGTTTTCTTTTTTTTATAGTATTATGTTGTTTTATTTAAAAATATAATGCACTTTTGTAACTTAAATATTAAAGCATAACTTTTTTAAGGACTTGAATATTGATTATAAATAGTATATTATTTATAAGCTAAATAGAAATTTCACTGTTAGTAAATTACCTACAAGTTTTGCGCAAAATGATATCAAATCCGCGACCGACAACATTGTTAGTCACGAAATACAACTTTAAATCTGTATTTACTTATTTAAAAATGAAATGAAATTAAACTTTATGTTAGCGCTTTCGAACATCCATATTATGGATAATGTGTGTATGTATTTGCACTATTTATCGATTATTTGTAGTCTATTATTGATTGTATCTACATATATAATACATATGAAATATAAATTTACTATTATGTTATATTTTATTGGTTTCGCTACGGATTTTAATTAATATAATAATAATAAAATACACTCAACTACGTAAATACAACGTTAAAAAAAAAGGCATAAAATATAATTACTCTTATTAAACTGTATTACTATAATTGAAAAAGTATTAGAAAGCTCAAAATAATTTGTATAAAACAGGAAAAGAACTATGCCAAAACAATGACAGGCTCACACAAATTATAAAATATTGAATTGCTACTTATTTAAAAGAATAATTAAATAATAATTTAAAATATACTACTATAATAGTCTTAATCAAAGTTAACTCTTATAATTTATTAGTTAGTGTACAACTTGTACATTGCTGAACCTAGTAATTAGTTCTTACACCAGTTAGTATGTCATCTTTGGGAGAAAACTAATTTGTAATGGAAGTAATAACTATAAAGTTTTGTATTTATTACTTTCAATTTTTTTATTTTATTACATAGGATAAGTATAGTTTACGTGTCTGTAGATATCGACGTGTTGTAAGAATGATATTAATAAAAATATATAGATTTATCTTTAAGTACATAACTTGGCTATTACAAATAATTATAACTTCATTTTACAAACTATTCATAAGGTAAAAGCACTAATGCTCGACACTTTAAGAACAACACAAATTTTATTCTTCAAAATAAAATATATTTTATAACAAAATGACAGTTACAGATTTTTTAATAACACCAGTAACATTTACAAATTATGTTTTTAATATCAAAGCTTTATTTGTGAGCATATTTTAAACTTAAATTTATATTCTTTTACACTTTGTCATAGGAACTATTAGATAACATCGCCAAAAAACTAAATCACTAATAATAGACATCCATTAGCACTAATACTAGACAACTACATAATCATGAAAATAAATCAACAATTGTAATATATTAGCATTGCCCGCGACTCCGTCCGCGTTCAGATGAGCAAAAACCAAATTCTTAGGTTTTACATATTAGTATACTCTTACATTGCAGTTTTTGTATTTTTTCTCAGAAATGACATATATACCCGCGGTAAAGAGTCGGTAAAAAGTATCCTATATGTTGACCCGGATAATCAGCTATCACCATACCAAATTTCTAAACAGACAAAAATTCTAAAAATTATTATTTCGGCCTCTTATCGAAAATAATGTCTATTTTAATAAGATTTTCCAAAAAATATTTAATGAACAGATTCGGCTTAGTTAGAATTTTATTATATGTATAGACTATCATATCAAGTTGTTCATGAACTTGTAACAGAAAATATAATCACTTAATCCAATCATTTGTGATAGTAATTTTTAATGAAGAACTTCGACTATTTATTTAATATTCACTTATTCATACATACTATCACATCAAGTTATCCATCAACTTGTAATGGAAAATCAAATTTGTAATTGATCCTATCACCTGTTATAATCATATTTGGCACTTTCGAGGACTTCAACGATTTGAGATTCACTTATAATACTAATATCTTTGTCGTTTTCTTTAAATACAGTTTTGGTTTGATCACAGCACACCATAGCCATAACTTCAATATCTTTACGAGAAATTTTTTGGACAATGCAGACAAACTTGTGATATTTCTTTCTTCCAGGAAAGTTGACAATTAGATAATCGCCCTGCTTGATATTACTTTTGTCATGGTAATTTTCGTGCAGTCAAATTTTGGGGCTGTCTTGTTATAAGATCAGGAAAACGTTTTAAAAAGCTGTTGTACCATCTTTTTCCAGGTCTGCCGTTCTTGAAAGGCGTTTCTACATTTAAAT